TTTTCTTCCAAGCAGTAAGCGTCTTTTAATTTCATGGCTGCAATCACCATCGGGTTCCCTATCAATCAGACAAAATGTGTGGATTTATCCTAAATGTCTGCTCAGGCATATCCATATAGCACTTTGATTGATGTAGCAAGATAAACAAGTCAAAACAATAGGCCAATATAGACTTTGGTACCATAACTAAATTTTCCAGGTAATTGCCTAATCTCTACTTCTTCTATCCTATACAGATATAGCATACAAAGCATGTAGAACTATGCCTAATTAGTGCAAGTGACTCATTGTGCTTACCTTCAACTATTCAATAATTAATTCCAAGAGATACAAATGAATTAAGCCTTTAAGAGGCTACACATCCAAAGGATGCCTAGGGCATCAACTGAGCTTTCAGAATTGAACAAAACAGACGCACTAGCTATTCTTTAATGTGCTTTATGAGACTGATGAGGGTATTATTCCTCAAATGTCTACTGTAAGCATAATGTTAAGCCCATTACATTTCTTGANGTCAAGGCTGTATATTGTCATCCTGCTTATTAAACTTATATGCAGAGTACATCATGAGAAACGCTGGGCTGGATGAAGCACAAGCTGGAATCAGATTACCAGGAGAAATATCAATACCCTCAGATATGCAGATGACACCACCCTTATGGCAGAATCTGAAGAACTAAAGAGCCTCTTGATGAAAGTGAAAGAGGAGAGTGAAAAAGTTGGCTTAAAACCCGTTCCATGGGGAGAGTCTCAATAGAAAATATCATCAACTGTTGCATTTCCTGTTGCCAAAATCAGAGACAACTCCCCTCTCAAACGTTAATAATAATATTCTCACAGTCCTGACTAAGCTGCTGGCTCACTAGCAAGATTCCGGAGAACTTTGCCATTATTCCTGTCTCCTGTTGGTCCCCAAAGGACTCAACTCTCAAAATTGATAATAACCCAGATCCTTATGTTTCTGCTTCATATATTGCAAAAATATTCTATGATACCAATCAGAACCAAAAAACCTTTCCACTCCCCCCACCATCATCCCCATTCTATTTGCCATGCCATCCACAACAAGGGAATGGGAAAAAATACAAGAGAAAGAGGGGTAACAGAGAGTAAAAGATCCAAACACAGACAAGACTTGGAAAGAATCTTGTGGGGGTTTAGAATTCCAAAGAAATATTCAAACTTTGTGTGACAATAATGACCTGACACATAGACTGAAGTTTCCAAAAGCTGAACTTGTTGTCTAAACTGCCTGCATGCAATGTGCGTGTAAGGGTGTGTAGTGTGTGTGTGTGCACAGTGTGTGTGTGCAGGTGTGTACATGAACTGAGGGGCATCAGTGAGCTAAGTGACAACAGTATGCATATCATACATTGTCTCCTTTTGTATAACTGAGCAGCTCAGAGACAATAATGGGACAAGACATCATGCCCCTTTGTGTTTTTTTAATTTTAGACCATAGCAATAGAATACCTGTTTTAAAAATAAATAAGACCAATATTTTTTAAAATAGTAAAGTAATACATGGATTTGCTAATACCATCTGAAAATAGTACAGTGAAATAAACACATTAGAAGGCACTACACTGGGGATCCCCTGGGCTGTGACTCTCACCCCACACGGGGATACTGCACAGGTGCAGCCCCATCTGTCACAGTGTGCGTCCTCACAATGCAATAGTACACAGCGCTGTCTCTCAGGGAAGCCCGGAGCAGCATCAGGGTGCTGACCTTCCTGTCAGTAGGAATTAACAGAGATGCCACTTCATTTTCCACGTTTGTCTTATATCCTTGAATGATATATTGTGGTCCCTGGCTGGGGAACTGTCGATACCAGAAGATATAGTCACTTGTAGATATTGTGGTGTGGTTACAGGATATGTTCACGTCTTGTCCTTCATATGAGTCAATGAAGATGGGCTGGGAGGTCTTAGCAAGACTCAAAGTACCTGTGGAAGTAAAAAACATAACACTAGCTCCTATTTTGACATCAAAGTGAAGGTCCAACTCAGCCCCCTCCAGGTTCTGTCACAAGTAAATCCTTATCTCCCCACCATATACAGACACACACAATTTACTTCTCACTTGTGTTTCAGGACACATTTTTTTTTAATAATTATTCTAAGGAATCACAGGAACACATGAACAAATAAATTCTCACTCTTGTTTCGGGAAACACTTTTTATATATTTATTCTAGGAATCCCAAGAACACACGAACAGAAGTGGCAGGTCAGATTTCTTCCTCCCATGGGCAGACCAGAGCTCAGTAACCCCGAATATCTTTATTTCTCTCACTCCTCACATAAAAGCCAAGGAAGAGCCTGGAGAAAAATAGGACCCCAAAGCCATCCCTCAGCATCTTGAATAAAGAGCAATGGTAGCAGGCAAGCTTGTAGATCCTTGTCTGGACCCAGATCCCAATTTCTCTTAATGCCATAATAACTCACCCAAGGTCAGGAGCACGGTTACTCTTGTCATCTGTCTCATATTCTAATGTAAACCAAGACCCAGGGTCTAAGTTCGGTTGCTG